ATGGATTCAAGAAGCTGAGTAAAACTCAGAGAATAAACTTAAGAAATCCACATCAAAACACACCATGGCCAAACTTTTGAAAACTAAAGACAAAAAATAATCCTGAAGGACAAGAGTTCATTTCAGTGGTTAAGAAACCTGTGGCACAATGGTGGAGAGAAAGATAAAGGTGAATAAAACAGAACAGAGAATCCAGAAAGAGCCCCATGTAAGTACAACTAGCGAGGTTTTAACAAAGATGAAATGGCAATTCAAAGAAGGAAGGATGATCTTCCCAATAAAAAGTGCTGAGCAACCAGATATCCACAGCCAAAAAATAAAATCTTAAAAAGAAATGAACTCAAAACAGCATAGGCTAACTGCAAAATGTAAAGTCATATAACTTGCAGAAGAGGGGGCCAACGCCGTGGCTCACTCGGTTAATCCTCCACCTGCGGCGCTGGCATCCCGTATGGGCGCCACATTCTAGTCCTGGTTTCTCCTCTTCCAGTCCAGCTCTCTGCTGTGGCCCAGGAAAGCAGTGGAGGATGGCCCAAGTCCTTGGGCCCTGCACCCACATGGGAGACCAAGAGGAAGCACCTGGCTCCTGGCTTCAGATCGGCACAGCACCGACCATGGCGGCCATTTGTGGAATGAACCAACATAAGGAAGACTTGTCTCTCTGTCTCTCTCTCTCTCACTGTCTGTAACTCTACCTGTCCACAAAAAAAAAAAAAAAAAAAAAAAAACCTTGCAGAAGAAGGGAAGGGAAGTTAGCATAAGCAATATTTTTATGGTAATAAACCATTCTGTATCTTGACTATAGCAATCATTATCATTACAAAAATCTACACGTGATAAAATTACACAGACTTACATACACGCCTTATACCACAAATGTCAAATTTCTGGTTTTGAGATACTTTTATGAATTTGGTTCTTTGTTTTTTTTTTTAAGATTTATTTTATTTATTTGAAAGTCAGAGTTACACAGAAGCAGAGGCAGAGAGACAGAGAGAAAGGTCCTCTATCCCCAGATGGCTGAAATGGCCGGAACCGTGCCGATCTGTCGCCAGGAGCCAGGAGATTTTTTTGGGTCTCCCACATGGGTGCTTCTACTGCTTTCCCAGGCCATAGGAAGCACCCATATGGGATTCCAGCACTGCAGGCAGTGGCTTTAACCCCTTACGCACAGGGCCGGCCCCAGCTAGTTTGGTTTTGATATCAATTTTTTTTTTTTTTTGACAGGCAGAGTGGACTGCGAGAGAGACAGACAGAGAAAGGTCTTCCTTTGCCGTTGATTCACCCTCCAATGGCTGCCGCAGCTGCCACGCTACAGCCAGCGCACCGCGCTGATCCGATGGCAGGAGCCAGGTACTCATCCTGGTCTCCCATGGGGTGCAGGGCCCAAGTACTTAGGCCATCCTCCACTGCACTCCTGGCCACAGCAGAGAGCTGGCCTGCAAAAGGGGCAACTGGGACAGAATCCGGCGCCCCGACTGGGACTAGAACCCGGTGTGCTGGCGCCGCAAGGCGGAGGATTAGCCTAGTGAGCCGCGGCGCGGGCCTTGATATCATTGTTTAAGACATGATCCTTGAATAAACTGGGTGAGGTGTACATGGGATCTCTCTATGCTATCTTTGTAACTTCCTAAGAATCTACATTATCTTAGAACAAAAAGTAAGAGCAGAAAGCAGGCCTTTAGCCTAGAGGTTAAGATACCTGCATCTCACAGCGAAATACCCAGGGTCAGTTTCTAGCTACAGCTCCTGACTCCAGTTTCCTGCCACCACAGATCCTGGAAGGCACCAGTGATGGCTCAAATAATTGGGTTCCTGCCACCCACATGGAATAACTGGATTATGTTCTAGCTTTCCATTTCAAAACGGCCCCTGCCATGAACCATCAAAGGACATTCTCTGTCTGCCTCCGTCTCTGTCTCTCGGTGACACTCTGCCTCTCAAATAAAATAAATATATCTTTCTAAAAAAGGCATTTGGGTCTGTGACCCGCCTCATTCTTTTCTGCTAAAAAAAAAAAAAAAAAAGCATAAGAGATTGAATAAATGAATGAGTAAAAAAGTAAAAATGAGGCTGAAATAGGACACTTTAAGGTCCATAAAAATTGAGAAAATCTATCACCAGAAGACCTGTACTATAAGAAATATCTAAAAAGAAATTCTTTAGAGAATAATACCAAATGGAACTTAAAATCCCATAGGAAGGAAGAATATTGTAAGTGATAAATTGTGGGGAGCAACTGGGAGCAACTCGGACTAGACTAAGTTACTGGAATTAAGACTTATTCTATGCATCTGCTTTCCCACAATATGGCGCTGAGAAGGGAAACAGCTTCTACACAGCTGCCTCCAGTTCAACCAATAAACTGTGGGACCTGCTCCTGATTGGAGGAGAGAGCGTACTCAGCGTGTGGGTAGCAGAGTTGGGATTGGTGGAAGAGGACTATAAAGGAGGAGAGAGACGGCATGCACCAGGAACATCTAAGGGGAACATCTGAAGGAACACCTGTGCAGCCCCCGAGAGAGCCGGCCGGCGGTGTGCCGCTCCCCCGCGGAAGTGGGGAATGTGGCAGGGGGAACCGCCCTTCCACGGAGGTGGAAGGGATGGTAGCCAACCCGGGAAGGACCAGCAGCCAACCCGGGAAGGACCAGCAGCCAACCCGGGAAGAACCAGCAGCAAACCCGGGGAGGGCCGAGCAGACGAAAGAACAGCGCAGGGTCCTGTGTCGTTCCTCCACGAAGAGGGGGAGCGACAATAAATATGTGCATCTTAAAAAGTTTTTTCTTCTAAGTTTTACTAAAAAGAAAGTGACTTTTAAAACCAAAAATTAAGACACTGGATTGTGGGATTTATAAAGTATGTAGAAATAAAATATCCAAAAATAATAACACTCAGAAGTGAAGAGTAAGTAGAGCTATACTATTGCAACACTCTTCAGAAAATTAACTTCTACTGGACTGGGACAAGTTCAAGATGTAATCACTACAGCAATCACTGAAAATATAATGCAAAAAGGTAAACATAAAAAGCCTATTTGAATTTAAATGAAAATCAGATTAAAGACCAAAAAATTCAATTAGCCCAAAAGAATGCAAAAGGAAAAACTAAGGGGAAAGAAAAAGGTTGGACAAATAAACTGTATGTCTTAATTTAAGTATATCAATTAGTTACATTAAATGTGGAGAATCAAACACTATAATTAAAAGACAGAGATTATAAGGCTGGGATAAAATATAAAAGTTAACTAAAGTCTGTCCCTAAAAAGCACCTTTTTTAAAAAAAAAAAGATTATTTATTTATTTGACAGATAGAGTTACAGACAGTGAGAGGGAGAGACAGAGAGAAAGGTCTTCCTTCAGTTGGTTCACCCCTCAAATGGCCGCTATGCGCCGAGCTACGCCAATCCAAAGCCAGGAGCCAGGTGCTTCCCCCTGGTCTCCCATGCGGGTGCAGGGCCCAAGCACTTGGGCCATCCTCCACTGTACTCCCGGGCGACCGCAGAGAGCCGGACTGGAAGAGGAGCATTCAGGACTAGAACCCGGTGTCCAGATGGGATTCTGGCGCCGCAGGCGGAGGATTAGCCAAGTGAGCCACTGCACCAGCCCCTAAAAAGCACCTTTAAAAATAGAGACTATAGGCCGGCGCCGTGGCTCCCTAGGCTAATCCTCCACCTGCGGCACCAGCACACAGGGCTCTAGTCCTGGTCAGGGCGCTGGATTCTGTCCCGGTTGCCCCTCTTCCAGTCCAGCTCCCTGCTGTGGCCCTGGAGTGCAGTGGAGGATGATGGCTCAAGTGTTTGGGCCCTGCACCCTCATGGGAGGAGACCAGGAGAAGCACCTGGCTCCTGGCTTCGGATCAGCGCAGTGCGCCAGCTGCAGCGCGCGGGCCGCATCGACCATTGGGGGGGTGAACCAACGGAAAAAGGAAGACCTTTCTTTCTGTCTCTCTCTCTCACTGTCCACTCTGCCTGTCAAAAAAAAAAAAAAAAAAATAGAGAGAGACTATAGATATTTGAAGGTAAAAGAATGTAAACATATATGCCATGTAAAATTGAAGAATAAGAAAGCTGAAAGGGGTATATTAATATCAGAAAGAGTACATTAAAACAAGGACTGTTACCTCAAATAAAACATGGAACATTTTCAAAATCACTAAAATTTTTCAAGTCATCAGAAAATTATAACAATTCTAAATATGTATGTATTCAGAGTTTCAAAATATATGAACAAAACTGACATGATAAAGGATAAAAAAATTATCAACTGCACAGACTATCTCTAACACTATCAACTATCTTGGCCTAAATTAACATTTACAAGTAGTATCTAACAAGATAACATGCAGGGGCCAGTGCTGTGGTGTAGCAGGTTATGCTTCCAACTGCGGTGCTGGCATTCCAAATGGGTGCTGGTTTGAATCCCAGCTGCTCTACTTCCGATCTAGTTCTCTGCTATGGCCTGGGAGGGTAGAGAAGGATGGCCCAAGTGCTTGGCCCCCAGCACCCACATGGGAGACCCAAAGAAAGCTCCTGGCTCCTGGCTTCTGATCTGCTCAGCCCCGTCCATTGTGGCCATTTGGGGAATGAACCAGCGGATGCAAGACCTCTCTCTTTCTGCTTCTCTCTCTCTCTGTAACTCTGCTTCTCAAATACATAAATAAATATTTTTTTAAAAAAGAGCAGAATGCACACTGTTTTTAAGTGTATATGAAATATTCACAGCTATTGTCTTAGTGGCCTCAAAAGGGACTTGCAGTACATCCCAGGAGACACATGACTTCTGCTGGGGTACATATAAACACAAATTACTTCTACTTTTTTATCTTTTAAAAATGAATAATGCATTGTTAATATTTAACGTGTGGACTGACAAATGTACATCTGTCTACCTGTTCATCTACCCAGGGGGCACATGCATAAGCATTTCGTGACAGATCTGCATCAGAACTAAGGCAACCTCCTCAAAAGGTATCCGGCAGCAGGCTGGTGGCTTGTACTTCACCTTCACAATGTGGGAATCCGATCTGTGACAAAATCTGCTTCAAGGTCAGTTTGTTGCTCTTCAGCCCGTGCAGTTGAAGCCATTTCTCGGATGAAATAAGACTTTGCTCAGCCAAGCCTGTTGTGGTGTTGCTCGGTGCCCCCTGCCTCTGCAGCTGCTGCTCAGAGATGGAAGACGAGGAGCCTGATTTCGCCATCTCTGAACCGGGATCTAAGTCACGGGGACCTCCTGCAAGGGCAAGTGTCAAACTCAGACCTCGTGAAAACTTGGAAACAATCAAACATTCACAGAGGAGGGGATTAATATAAATTATGGTATGCCCATGAAGTGGCATTCTATGTGCTTAAATTTAAATGTAATCGTAGGCCGGCGCCGCGGCTCACTAGGCTAATCCTCCGCCTAGCGGCGCCGGCACACCGGGTTCTAGTCCCGGTTGGGGCGCCGGATTCTGTCCCGGTTGCCCCTCTTCCAGGCCAGCTCTCTGCTGTGGCCAGGGAGTGCAGTGGAGGATGGCCCAGGTGCTTGGGCCCTGCACCCCATGGGAGACCAGGAAAAGCACCTGGCTCCTGGCTCCTGCCATCGGATCAGCGCGGTGCGCCGGCCGCAGCGCGCCAGCTCCGGCGGCCATTGGAGGGTGAACCAACGGCAAAAGGAAGACCTTTCTCTCTGTCTCTCTCTCTCACTGTCCACTCTGCCTGTCAAAAAAAAAAAATGTAATTGTATATTTGTTGGCAAGGAAAATATATGTATTGCTAAGAGATAATCACAATATTCATATGTATATTCACACAGAAAAACCTCTAGAAAGACATATGCCAAGAGGTTCCTAGTAGGTGGTTTTTTTTTTAACTTTTATTTAATGAATATAAATTTCCAAAGTACGATTTATGGATTACAATGGCTTCCCCCACATACCGTCCTCCCACCCACTACCCTCCCCTTTCCCACTCCCTCTCCCCTTCCATTCACATCAAGATTCATTTTCGATTATCTTAAAATACAGAAGATCAGCTTAGTATACATTAAGTAAGGATTTCAACAGTTTGCTCCCACACAGAAACATAAAGTGAAAAATAATAGATGATTTTTTTAAATGATGATGAAATCAGATCAGACCTATTGTCATGTTTAATCCCAGTGAGAGTCAAGTTGGGAGTTGATAATTTCTTTCTTTTTTTTTTTTTTTTTTTTACAGAGGATCAGTTTAGTATACATTAAGTAAAGATTTCAACAGTTTGCACCCCCATAGAAACACAAAGTGAAATATATTGTTTGAGTACTCGTTATAGCATTAAATCTCAATACACAGCACATTAAGGACAGAGATCCTACATGAGGAGTAAGTGCACAGTGACTCCTGTTGTTGACTTTACCAATTGACACTCCTGTCTATGGCATCAGTAGTCTCTCTATGCTCCAGTCATGAGTTTCCAAGGCTATGGAAGCCCTCTGAGTTCTCCGATTCTTATCTTGTTTAGACAAGGTCATAGTCAAAGTGGAGGTTCTCTCCTCCCTTCAGAGAAAGGTACCTCCTTCTTTGAAGACCTGTTCTTTCCACTGGGATCTCACTCGCAGAGATCTTTTGCCAGAGTGTCTTGGCTTTCCACGCCTGAAATACTCTCATGGGCTTTTCAGCCAGATCCGAATGCCTTTAGGGCTGATTCTGAGGCCAGAGTGCTATTTAGGACATCTGCCATTCTATGAGTCTGCTGAGTATCCCACTTCCCATGTTGGATCACTCTCCCCTTTATTTATTCCATCGGTTAGTGTTAGCAGGTACTAGACTTGTTTATGTGCTCCCTTTGACTCTTAGTCCTTTCATTATGATCAATTGTGAACTGAAATTGATCACTTGGAATAGTGAGATGGCATTGGTACATGCCACCTTGATGGGATTGAATTGGAATCCCCTGGTATGTTTTTAACTCTACCATTTGGGGCAAGTCAGCTTGAGCATGTCCCAAATTATACATCTCTTCCCTCTCTTATTCCCACTCTTATGTTTAACAGGGATCACATTTCAGTTTTTAACACTTAAGAATAACTGTGTATTAATTACAGAATTAAACCAGTCATATTAAGTAGGTTTTTTTTTTTTTAATGTGTTAGAAATATGTGTGGTTAGGGTCGGCGCCGAGGCTCACTTGGTTAATCCTCCACCTGCAGCACCAACATCCCATATGGGCGCCGGGTTCTAGTCCCGGTTGCTCCTCTTCTACTCCAGCTCTCTGCTGTGGCCCAGGAAGGCAGTGGAGGATGGCCCAAGTGCTTGGGCCCTGCACCCCATGGGAGACCAGGAGGAGGAACCTGGCTCCTGGGTTTGGATCAGTGCAGTGCACCAGCTGTAGCGGCCATTTGGGGGGTGAACCAATGGAAGGAAGACCGCTCTCTCTGTCTCTCTCTCACTGTCTAACTCTATCTGTCAAATAAATAATAAAAGAAATATGTGTGGGTTTTTCCTTTTATTTTTTTTTTAATTTATTTATTTGAAAGCAGAGTCAGAGAGAGAGAGGGAAAGGTCTACCATCCACTGATTCACTCTCCAAATGGCTTCACAGTGGGGCTGGGCTGGAACTTCATCTGGTCTCCCACTTAGGTGCAGGGGCCCAAGTACTTGGGCCATCTTCCGCTGCTTTCCCAGGCACGTTAGCAGGGAGCTGGAGTGGAAGTGGAGCAGCTAGGGACTTGAACCGATGCTCATATGAGATGCCAGTGTTGCAGGCAGCAACTTAACCACTGCACCACCACACCTGCCCTGCCTTTTCTATACTATGTAAACATCTGTATTACGTGAACATTTCTAAAATAGGATTTACAGTTATAATTAGAAAATAACAGGGCTCTTCCACTTTGGAAAATTAACACTCAGAATCATCACAGGTTCTTGTCTGCATTCCAATTATGCTCACACCTGACATTTTGCTGCCAACAGGGATAAAGAGGATAAAACCCTGAGAGGAAATTCACCTGTTCTACATGTGCAGTGGCTACCTGGGAGCTGGCAGCAGGGTGGAATCAGACCACAGCTCAGGCCTGCTGGAATACCAGGACTTACTCTCTGAATGTCTTATTGTCTGGCACTTTGCTCTGACATTGGACTTGAACAGCCTGGCTCAGGGAGTCAGCTGTTCTGGGATCAGCTGGACTCCAGGCAATACGCAACATATTAAACTTATCTAGGCCTGCCTGAAGGCAGCCAGTGTGCGCAAGAGGAAAGGAGTGGCCAAACTGGAATGCAATCTTGACCCACTCACCACAGCTGGGCAGGGCCAGATAACCCGGAGGAAGTGTAGGAAGCTCTGCTTCCATGGTAGGCAGTGCACATAAACCGACACCCTAGATTGTAAAACTTCTCAACAATGAAAATATTCTCTTTTCCCATTTCTAAAACTCACACTGTATTTCCTGAAAGCCTCAGCATCAGGACAAAGAAATTTAGTCAAACACAAACGTCAGTTGGACCGAAGCCGGGTGGGGGGGTGTTAAAAGAATTTAGAAATATTACTATTAGCAAACACTTGTTTAACATTATGCTATGTGCACTGTGCCTTTATTCCTTAAAATAACCTTATGAGGTAGACACTATTTTTAATCCCATTTTACAAATAAGGAAACCAAGACAAGGAGCCTTAGCTAAATTTTCTACAACCTCACCACTAGTAAGGGGTGTAGCTGAGATTTTAAACCAGGCCATCCTGCTCCCAAGTCTGTGTTCTATGGCTTTCATTATACTAGGAACAACCGCAGCAACTTCCGTTTCTTAGTCACTGGGCAGAGCCCTGTGTGTGCACTATCTCACAGATTCTTCATAGCCATATCAGTCACATGCTGTTAACACCCTGATTATATTCGAGGTTTATGATTGAGGGAATCGGAAGTTTCGAGAATTTAAAGAACTCATTCAATAGTTCTGCCACAGCTAGTAAGAGGCAGAAGCAGGAGTCAATGCCGTGACTCAACCACTCTGCTATCTTTACAACTAATCTCCAGTTCGTTCCTCTGGGACAAGCTGGCAACTGTGTTCCAGGGGGACTGCTTTCTGGGAGGTGGCCTGAGTCCTCATGGAAAACAAAGAGCTCCAGCCTTGGTTCTCAGAGCTTGGATCAGCAGGCGTCCTAGTTCATCTCTCAAGCTTTTAAAGATAAGTATTCTGGGGCCAGCGCTGTGGCGCAGTGGGTTAATACCTTGGCCTGAAGCGCTGGCATCTCATATGGGCACCAGTTCAAGACCTGGCTGCTCCACTTCCAATCCAGCTCTCTGCTATGGCCTGGGAAAGCAGTAGAAGATGGCCCAAGTCCTTGGACCTCTGTACCCGTGTGGGAGACCCGGAAGAAGCTCCTGGCTCCTGGCTTGGATTGGCCCAGCTCCGGACATTGTGGCCAATTGGGGAGTGAACCATTGGATGGAAGACCTCTCTGCCTCTCCTATCTCTGTGTAAATCTTATTTTCAAATAAATAAAATATTTAAAAAAAATAAAGATAATTATTCCCCTTTCAAGGTTTATGTGCATTTTTATTTCTCACATATAAGGAAACTTCAAAAAACTGTGGAAAATAGAATTAGGAGATAACTTCATTTTGGTTTGGGATTTTAAAGAATTTATTTATCTTCATTTTATTTGAAAGGCAGAGAGAGAGAGGGAGAGAGAGAGATCTTCCATCTTTAAATGGCAGCAACATCTAGTTCTGGGCAGGCCAAAGCCAAGAGCCAGGATCTCAGTCTGAGTCTCCCATTAGGTCAGCAGAGACACAAGTACTTGAACCATGACTGCTGCCTCCCACAGTGCACGCACATTAGCAGGAAGCTGGATCCAAGGCAGAGTCTGGGACTCAAATCAGACACCCCAATATAGGGCTGAAGTGTTGAAAGTGGCAATTTAACAGCTGTGCTGGATGCCCCTCCCAAATAGCTTTAATTTTGGTGCAAAAAATTTTTGAAATGCATGCATAGTTTTTTCATAGTAATTATTTTCCATGAACCTTCTGAAGACCTCTTAAGTTGAATTTCAAAGGCACACAAATTCATATTATTGAAGATCTTGACTTCTTTCTACAAGGGTTCCTTTTGATGAGACTGTTAAAATACGACTTGCAGAACATCATGCAGGAATGGAAAAGTTTAGAATCAAAATCAAGAGGTAGACATTTGGCCTAGCAATTAAGATGTCCCTGTCCCATATCAAAGTACCTGAGTCTGAGTTCCAGCTCTGTTTCCTGATTCCAGTTTTGTCCTAATGCAGACTCTGGGAGAAAATGCTAAGGGCTCAAGAAATTGGGTCCCTACCACTCACATGCGGGACCTGAACTGGCCCAGCCCTGGACATAGCAGTCATTTGAGAAGTGCATTAGCAGATGGGAGTTCTCTGTCCCTAATAAAAACATTTTTAAAAGCTCGGTATAAGCTCATTCTGCCACTTTAGGCAAGTGATTCCACCTCTTTACAATAGTAATAATACCTGTACACTCTGACTCCCAGGGCTATGGCAAGGAACAAATCTGATGATGCAAGGAGTTACTCATGGAGAAGCTTTGATATATCGGAAAGAGCTACGTACAAATAAATCATCCAGAAGGCGTTATCCTTTGGTAATTAATGTTTTATGATAGCCACTTTCACTCAAAGCTGTAATCTCCTAGTCCCCAGTCGTATTGAGCTGTGGTTTCCAATCACAGAATATGAAAACAAGGGCAGATTCGTATGATCTGACAGAGCCAGCATTGTGGCATAGTGGGTGAAGCTCCTGCCTGTGACACTAACACCCCTGGGAAGGCAGCAAAGATAGCCCAAGTACCTAGACCCCTGCCACCCACATGGGAGAGCCAAATGGAGTTCCAGGCTCCTGGCTTCAGCCTGGCCAGCCCCAGCTGTTTTAACTATTTGGGGAGTGAACCAGCAGATGGAAGACTCTCATTCTCTCTCTCCCTCTCTCTCCCTCTCTCCCTCTCTTTCCCTCCCTCTCTCTCTCTGTAATTCAGCCTTTCAAATAAATAAATAAATAAATCCTTAAAATATATTTTTTTTTACTGTCCTTTGGGGTTCTGTCCACAAAGACTCTGGCTGAAGGTCTTTTAAGTTTGGTCAATTGTTCCTATAGAAGCCAGAAAAGGAAGCTAAGAAAGCTTCACTATTTCATCATTTCCAGTTCATTTTTTCTCTCCCTTGAAACATAACCCTCCTCCTTCATTCTGCTTGCTGGAAGAAGTTACACGTCCTATGTGAGAAAGGGAGAACTTTTACATAAATCGCCCTAATAAGGTTTTCTCAGATTGGAGACTAATCTTCAAGACTCAGAGGAGTCACGGATTTGCTTTTAAGACAAAAAGACACATTCTAGATCCCTCCCCCCCAAAATCAAATTCTCCAGCCTTGCTAAGGTACATGCCCCAGTTCCTTTTGCATTCATTTGGCATTTTTTTTTAAATGACTTTAAAAATGTCAATGGCTCTACTGGATCTAAGAACCAGGATGACTCATTGGGATGAGTCATCATAGGCCTTAACTCTAGGGTTTTATAGCCTGAGAATACCTGTATTGTCAGAAATGAAAGCAACTAGAATTGGAACCTAGCCAGAGCAAATAAGGAAGGAAAGAGAGAAAGGCCATCTCCCAACCAAAGGCACTGTTCTAACCCAATGGGGTCAAGGAAGCCTGCTGGCAGTGAGGACCTGACAAAGCTACACCTGCCCTCTACTCCCTCCACCCTCCCACCCCTTACTCTGCACACAGCTGACCTGCTTGCCCACCTCCAAGCAGGTCTCAGTACGTTCCTATGTGAGCTCTAAGCCTGCAAGGCCAAGGCCAATTTCAAATGCTACGTCCTCCATTAAGCCTCTCCCTGGGAAAGCCCTAACTTTTGCTTGGATACTTCCTCTCTATGGCCTTGAACCCTTGACATTAGTCCTCTCTAGACCGAAAGAAGAGTTCAATGACTACAGGGACAAACTAGATTTGGTTCTCAACACAGTACCTGCATACAGCAAGCACTTAGTGTGAGTCTTGCAATGAATTAAACTGACCCCCCCTCAGAACTAACTACTCAGAGAAACCTCATTTTTTTCAAACAAGGCAAAAATCTGATTTGCTAAGAACAGGAAATAGCTGTCTCTTTGAACAGAAACCTATTATTCTCTGGGTAGTATTATGTCATTTATTATTATTCAGTTTCCGCAATAGATTGGGAAATGGAAGAATCCAAAAATTAAAAACAACATATCTCCATTGAATATTGCCCTACGTTTTCAAAGCCATTTCAAGAGCCACTGAGTTTGGGGAAATAGGAAGGGATTTCTCCAGTAGAAGGAAGAAGTCCAAAAGGGAGGAAAAAAAAAAGGAAAGAAAGAAATGAAAGTTTGAGCTGAAGGCATAGACAGGCAAAGCACTTGGGAGAAAAAATGGAAAAGTTAAGCTGGCACAAGTGGAGAAGTCGTAACCAGAGGAAGCTGCAGCTGCACCTACAGACAGCCCTGTGCTGCTGGAGTCTGCCCAGCGGAGCCCCAGACGATGCTACAAGGCCGCTCTGGGGTGTGAGTGGAGTCCTGAGGAAATCTTTAGGCCCTAAGAAAGAAGGTTCCCTGTGGTCAGAGTCTGAGAGCTACCACAAGGCTTAGAGTCCATGAATTCAATGTAAACGTTTGGAAAGCTTCTACCTACTCTAATATCAGCACCTCAACCTTCCTATCTCCTTGTCAGTTTCTGAAAAAGACATCCGGGCGAGGTGAACATATCTCGTGAATTAGTTGTCTTTTGAATTACGATTATTCTGGGAAGGAAATTAGAGTAACTGGAGTGTGTTAGGGGAAGCTCATTGCTGAGAAGAGACACACGAAGAGCTCACACACAAAAAAAAGTTTTATGCCTATATGAAAAGGGTAAAAGAAAGTGACTGAAAACCATGCAGGTGGCCGGCACCCTGGCTCACTAGGCTAATCCTCTGCCTGCGGCGCCGGCACACCGGGTTCTAGTCCCGGTCAGGGCGCCGGATTCTGTCCCGGTTGCCCCTCTTCCAGGCCAGTTCTCTGCTGTGGCCCGGGAGTGCAGTGGAGGATGGCCCAGGTGCTTGGGCCCTGCACCCCATGGGAGACCAGGAGAAGCACCTGGCTCCTGGCTCCGGATCGGTGCAGTGCACCTGCCATAGTGGCCCTTTGGGGGGTGAACCAACGGAAGGAAGACCTTTCTCTCTGTCTCTCTCTCTCTCACTGTCTAACTCTGCCTGTCAGAAAGCAAGAAACCCACGCGGGTGTGGAGGGGTGACGTGACTGGGAAAACCCTGTGGGTGTGAGAGGGAGGCAGAGGCCATTCCAGGCCAAAAGTCACGGAAAGCTTTAGAGAGAAAGAGGTCATTTTTCGTTTTAGACTCTTCATACTTATCACTCTTTATTCAAAATAAATTCTTCCTGGTTCTGGTATTACCCTCCAAAACGCAGGTAAGCTTTGCCGTCTTAATGCTGTTGGCCTATGGCTCAGACAGAAACTTCCAGAGCTTGTTCTCCGCCCGGGAACCTCAGCTTGTTCCGGAAGCGAAGTAGCGGGAAAAGCTCTCCAGAGCAGGAGCTGCCGGGTCCCTCGTCTCTCGACCAGAACCTAGCCCCAAACAGTGAGGCGAGCCTGGGCAAGCCCCTGAGCTTTCCCGGTACTACTTCTGCATCTGCAAGGTGGGAACCGGGCCCGGCTCGGACGCTCCTCCGCTTGTGGGAAGGTCAGCACCTCAGAGGTTCTGACGTGCGTGCAAAGGCTGATGTCCCACACTTACTAGGCAACCTGTCAGCTGGAGGACCAGACGGCTCCCGTTCAGCAGCCCCTGTCCCATCCTCCGGGGCCGGTCTGCGCGCTGAGGGCAGGCGGAGGAAGCATCCCACGATAAAGGAGCGATTCCCGCCCGCCGGCGAAGGATTCCAGAAGGGCGATCTCTGTGACCCCGGTCCTCCAGGGTTCTCAGCCCCGGCCGGCCGGAGCGGTGTGTTGACGACGGCGTCGCCGCGGTTGCTAGGACACAGCCAATCGGGATGCGGCTCGCCCGGCCGGCCCCGCCCAGGACCGTGAGGTCAGGCCCGGGGTCAAGGGGCCGGGCCTCCAAAGCCCACTCCCCTGCTCGGCGCGGGAGGAAAGTGTCGCCCACGACCGGCGGCTCCCGGGACGCCCGGGGCGGGGCCGCACCAGAGGGACGGAGCGGGAGGCCTGTGCCCAGTGCCCGCTGTGAGGAAAAGTACAGTGGTGCATATTAATTATGTCAACAGGTGTGCCCAGGTGAGCCCCCGTAGGGAACCGGGGTGCGAGTAGATTGTGGGGGGAAGCGGGGGCGAGCGGACTTAAACTGGGAGTTCTAGCGTTTAGCCCTGTGTCCCCTTTTTAAATTTCACCTCGAGGCTGTGAGGAGATACTCTGTTCGTTGTACACGGGCACTTGGAAAAGTTCATGGAACATGGGCTGAAAAAGGGTAAATTTCACTCTGGTGCCGGCATTTTTTTTTTTTTTTTTTTTTACTATCCATGCATAATCTTTGCAAGACTGCATTTTCTGTGAACTTTTTGAAGAACCCTGCCTACGCAAGGATTTCAAAAATGGTTGCACCAAAGTATAACATCTTTTAATTCCACTTTATGTGGACATCTGGAAGGACCCTCCTGCAGTGGCCATTTGGGGAATGGGGGCGATTCGGTGGCAGACGCTCAGCCATGGGACGTGAGTGCAGCTGAGGCAGGAAGAACTGGAATCCCTGACTTTGGCAAATTTGCAGTTTTGGAGGGAGGGGCTGCACTCCCCCCCCCCCCCAAAGATTCACATCTATTAGAAAAGAATATTCCTGTAGGCATCATTTTCTCCATTCGGGTTACTTTAAGCCTGATTTTAGTTTTACCTTATCAAATTATCAAAAGACTCAAAATAATTCCTAATTTTTGTAGTCACTAAGAAATAAAGGTGTCCTAAGAAAAGCTTCTTTTTCTATTAAAAATTTAATAGAACATCTCATAGATAAGCATTGTTTTTAGTATCTCGTAAATCTGAAATAGCCACAAAATCAGAAAAATCTAGTTCATCCACAGGGACTAATTTTCCTTCTATTCTTTTAATGCCCTTATAATTTAAAAAGTGCTGAAATGTTTGCTTCTCTATCACAAATCATTCCTTAAAGTTATTAGGTGGTGTACTTTTTGGCCTCCCTGCAAACGACACCTGCCTTTCACACCACCAACCACCACCAACAGAAAACTTGACAGTGCTGAAGATTCTGTTCGGGAGAGTCCTAGTATGCTAGCCACACCCACATCTGCGGGTGCCGCCTTAATTCATCCTGTGCACACCCTGCTGTGCTAATATTGCTGGGGTGAGAGAGCGCAGAGCATCATCACACAGCCCAAGGCGCTGCCCCACCTCCACCCCATGCCTTCTCCCTTCCCTGGGACTGCTGGCACAGTTGGGCAAGTCACTGTGGATGACTGTTTCTGTCAATACTGTTTATGTGCCTGCAAGCACACATTCATGTGGAAACATTAAACATTACTTAGATTGTAGGAAGAAAAGTGAGCAGGTTTAAGGTCAGTACGCACTGTATAGCTGATAAGGAACTTGAGCTAGCCACAGGACAGCTTGCCTCATTTTTGTTTGTTGAATGATCTGCAATAAGATCCTGTCCCTCTGTTGAGCTATACCATTTTACTGAACTTCAACAATTTTTTAAAAGATTTATTTATTTTATTTGAAAGGCAGAGTTGCAGAGAGGCAGAAAGAGAGATGTCTTCCATTCACTGGTTCATTCCCCAGATGGCCACAATGAGCAGAGCTGGGCTGATTCGAAGCTTCTTCTGGCTCCCCCAAGTGGGTTCAATGGCCCAAGCACTTGAGCCATCTTCCGCTGCTTTCCCAAGCCATGTCAGAGAGCTGGTACAGAAGTGGAGCAACCAGGACACGAATTGGTGCTCATATGGGATGCTGGCACCACAGGTGGAGGCTCAACCTGCTGCACCACAGTGCTGGCCCCAGTTTTTTTTTTTTTAATAAAGATTTATTTATTTGAAAGTCAGAGGAGAGGCAGAGAGAGAGAAAGAGAGGTCTTCCATCCGATGGTTCACTCCCCAATTGGCTGCAGTGGCCAAATGCAGGAGCCAGAATCTTCTTCTGGGTCTCCCACACGGGTACAGGAGCCTAAGGACTTGGGCCATCTTCCACTGCTTTCCCAGGCCATAACAGAGAGCTGGATCGGAAGTGGAGCAGCCGGGACTAGAAGTGGAGCAGCCGGGACTAGAACCAGCACCAATATGGGATGCCAGCACTGCAGGTAGTGGCTTAACCCGCTACGCCACAGTGCTGGCCCCTAAGCAGATACTCCTTCCTTCCTTCCTTCCTTCCTTCCTTCCTTCCTTCCTTATTTGACAGATAGAGTTAGACAGTGAGAGAGAGAGACAGAGAAAAAGGTCTTCCTTCCATTGGTTCACTCCCCCAAATGGCCACTATGGCCAGAGCTGCGCCGATCCGAAGCCAGGAGCCAGGTGCCTCCTCCTGGTCTCCCATGCGGGTGCAGGTGCCCAAGCACTTGGGCCATGCTCCACTGCCTTCCCGGGCCACAGCAGAGAGCTGGACTGGAAGAGGAGCAACTGGGACTAGAACCCGGTGCCCATATGGGATGCTGGCGCCGCAGGCGGAGGATTAACCAAGTGAGCTATGGCGCCAGCCCCAGCAGATACTTCTAAGTTCTGTAATGTTCTTGTGCTCAGTACCTATTATTTGGGGAGCACGTGTAGGCATGTGGCTCTCAAGCTGACATTTCTCATGAGAAACAGAGCTTTTAGGCAAAAATCTTTTATCCTTGACCATCACTATATTCACTTTAATCAGACTGAATTAGCACTTAAAGTGATAGAATTTATTGAATGCCAGACAATGTTCTAAGTGCTTTCAACATGTTACCTCATTGAATACAATCACGTGCCACAAAACATTTCCGTCAATGTCAGACCACACACGTGATGGCGCTCCCATGGAATGACAGCACCTAGTGACGCTGTGGTTGTCTTAGATTGTGTAAGTCCTTGCTGTGGCATTCTCTTGATGACGAAGTCACCTGCTGGCGCTTGCTCAGAACTTACCCTGCCGTTAAGTGATGCATGACTGTAGTACTTAGAAAAGCTCTATGAGGGAGCGACCGTAATTATCCCTACTTTATAGATAAGTAAACTGATTAAGTAACTTCTGCAAGGTCACTCAGCTGGTAGCTCCAGAATTTGAACCCCAGCACTCTGTCTCCACACCCTGCCCTCTTAATTATATGCTGTGTTTATCCATTGTTGTCTTTAGTTTCCTCCAAAAGGAATTTTTTGTCATCTCAATTTACAGGGTCCATTTACAGCTTGATATGAATGCCACAGTGAAAACCCTACTAAATTTGAATGGGTTTTTAAAAGGACACATTTCAAGTTTAAATGTCATAAAGCAGGTCTGTTTTGTAATTACTATGCTTCCCTCCCACACTTGTTAACCAACACCTTTGCAATGTGGCAGTGCTGTCAAATAAACTGGATGGTAGGCTATTATCATGCCCCAGTAGCAAATTAAGAAGGACTGAACAACAATATTTTATATATAAATAAAAAGTCTCAAATACTTGAAAATTTAAAATTACCCGTCAAAATAGATACTGGGAATAAAACCTGGCAAAGACAATACTCCTGTGGTGAAAATTTATATTAAATTTTGTGTATTTATTTGAGAGACAGAGAGAGAGAGAGTACTTCTATCCTCTGGTTCACTCCCCAGATACTCACAATGGCCTGGGCTGGGCTAAGGCCAAAGTTGGGATCTGGGAACATAAGCCAGGTCTCCCACATACGTGTGGCAGGAACACAGTTACCTGTGGCATCCCCACTGCCTCTCAGGGTCTGTATTAGCAGGAGGCTGGCTGGACTCAGGAGCCAGAACCAAGAATCAAACCCAGTCATTCTGATGTAGGATACAAGTGTCTTAACTGCTAGGCTAAAGTAAACACTTGCTCCCTGGGATGAAATTTTTTTTTTTTTTAACAGCACATTAAGGACAGAGATCCTACATGAGGAGTAAGTGCACAGTGACTCCTGTTGTTGTGGGATGAGATTTTGATCACATGGAAATGATACTCAGGAATAGACTGAACCTGTGTTGACCTGGTGGTCCTCTCCCTGAGGGTCCTAGGAGAGGAGTGCACACGATGTACAATGAGCAGGAGTAATAGGAATCTCCTTGTGTTAGGTGCTTCTACCCCTAGCATAGGGAGACCTGGCAGCCCTGTGTGAGCACAAGATATGGGCACAGGATGGAGCCTCTCCTGCTTCTGTGTTCAAATTTTTCCACTAGCTCCTGGCTGAACCTGGAGGAGTCAATGTGCAGTGCTCCTTATATGGGAGTTAGAGAGATAAGCGTCTGCCCGCTCTGGTTTGTCTGTCCTCTTCTCCACCTTGAGAAAGAGTAAAGTACCCTGGGAAAACCATGGAAGGGATCATAATTCCCACAGTTGGCACCATCAACCTCCTAGAATCTGATCCAGTGACATTTGTGTTCTCTCTTCTTGAGAAGTGAAGAAGGAAGAGGAAAGGGAGGAAAAGGATAAGGGTAGAAGAATTAAAACATTCTCATGGAGGAATCTAATTATAAGAATCCTAGATTAAATGCTGGAAGTAACCCACTTTATAGTAATTGTTTTCAAATTTGCAATGGTAGTCGGCGCTGTGGCACAGCAGGTTAACACCCTGGCCTGAAGCACCAGCATCCCATATGGGCGCCAGTTCGAGAACCAGCTGCTCCACTTCCAATCCAGCTCTCTGCTATGGCCTGGGAAAGCAGTGGAAGATGGCCCAAGTCCTTGGGCCCCTGCACCCACGTGGGAGACCCGGAGGAAGCTCCTGGCTCCTGGCTTTGGATCAGCACAGCTCCCGCCGTTGTAGCCAATTGGGGAGTGAACATCGGATGGGAGACTTCTCTCTCTCTCTCTCTCTCTCTCTCTCTCTCTGCTTCTCCTCTCTCTGTGTAACTCTGAGTTTCAAATAAATAAATAAATCTTTTCAAAAAATTTGCAAAGATACATACTTTTCTGACAAGCAATTCCACTTCTGGGTTTCCTTGAGAACACAAAAGTGTTTTTGTAATAGCAACATAATGGACATAAAGGACTGCTTAAAATTATGATATATTCTCATTATGATGTGACAACAGTATAAAAGAATAACATAAATTTATTTAAAACAAAATAAATCTCCAAGATTTTTTAAAAAAAATCAAATTATAAAATGTATATTTAGTACCATGCATTTCATGCTAAAACATACGTACTGATTTTTGCTTATTTATTTGAGAGTGGAAGGAGAGAAAGATCAAGAGGAAATATACTGGGGCCGGCACTGTGGTATAGCAGGTTAAGCTGCCGCCTGCAGTGCCAGCATCCCATGTGGACACTGGTTCGAGTCCCAGCTATTCCACTTCCAATCCAGCTCTGCTATGGCCTGGGAAAGCAGCAGAAGATGGCCCAAGTCCTCGGGCCCCTGCACCATGTGGGAGATCTGAAAAAAACTCCTGGCTCCTGGCTTCAGATTGGCCCAGCTCCAGCCATTGCAGCTAATTGGGGAGTGAACCAGAGGATGGAAGACCTCTCTCTCTCTCTCTCTCTCTCTCTCTCTCTCTCTCTCTGCCTCTCCTTCTTTCTGTGTAACTCTGACTTTTAAATAAATAAATAAATCTTTAAAAAAAATAAAAGAGGGAGTATACTAGGTCTCATCTGCTGGTTCATACTCCAAATGTCCAAAGCTGTGAGCCAGGAACTCGAGCCAGATATTCCACAGGAGTGGCAGGAACCCAGTTACTTGAGCTGCCTTCACTGCCTCCCAGGAAGTGCATTAGCAGAAAGCTGGAGTGAGGAACTTGACCCAGGAATCCAACTCAGGTACCCCAGTGTGGCATCCAGGCATCCTAAATGGCAGCTTAACCACTACACAAAACTCTTGCCACCTACATTTGTCTGTTTGTTTCCACTCTCAGCCCATTGACCAGAGTAGGTCATATGACCCCACCTTTAGGAGATAGGAAGATATGGGAACACAGGGTACTTCCTTGGCAGTGAGAATTTCTTTCTGCTGTGTTAAACCAAGGCTTAAGCCCTTGGAGCATGGCAGCCAAGCCAGAAAGAGCTGCAGGAACACTGTGTTCCATTGTGCTACACACACACACACACACACACCCATGAAACAAAGGAGAGAATAGGCTTCCTGGTTGAACACAGTGGCAAGAACGTGTTAAAATACACAGAGTGGGAATAAACACATGTACACACAACACAGGCACACATATGGTATAGCTTCATCTAAAGTTACATACAAATAGAAATGCTGACACAGGGGTAGGGTTTATAATATTCTGTGCCAAAGGCTTTTGCAAAACATGAGTATAATAATGATCATCTGAAAATTATCTATATATGCTCTAAAAGCATCTATGAAAGACACCATGATGTTGTCATAAGTCTTTTTTTTTTTTTTTTTTTTGGTCAAAAGTCTTGGTTCAAACACTCTACGCACTTCTCAGACATGTAGTTCTATGCAAACATGTCTTTTGTTGAGTTTGTAGTTTCCTTGTTTTCTCTTTTTAAGACAATAAAGACTAAGTAACAAATAAAATTTCTCTTCTTGCCTTGACAGCAAAGAGGCTGGGAGTAGTGCTTTAAGTTCACCTGGAGGACCACTCTGATACATTAGCTCCCTCTCCTCTTTCAGCTCTCGGCTAGTATTGTTCTGCTCTGGTCTTAATGTTCTTGTGAGTGCATAGAGGATTGGCCTTTAACTGTAGCTTTTTGCCTTTAGAGAAATGAGTAGGGTATAACATATCAGGAAAATGGTGGCATATTCGTTCAGTGTCCTTCACAGCCTGCACTGGTGCTAGGAAGGCCTGAGCAGGGACATTGTGATAAGGGGTGCACCATGGCCTGCCGTCCCTGAGAGTGGGCGATGGTCACACACAGTCCAGAACTCAGTAGTCTAGGGCAGAAAGGACTCTGCCCTCTTCTTCTGTAGAGGCACCATGAGGTAGGGGAGGACTCTCAATGTAGCTAAGGCCTCCATGGGGCAAGCCGAGCACACGGAGGCCCCACCTGCTCAGAGCTGTGCGTAGGAGAGAGCTCCTCATCTCATCTGCTCACTCAAGTTAGCAGGAATTTGCTCCACCCTCCAGGCCCCAAAGCCCAGACATTGCACTGAGCTTAATCCTATCCCTCCTCCCAATCCATGAGTGAGCCAGATTCTTCAATCATTAACAGATCATTTGTTGATTTTTAACTGCAGTAAAATTAAACAAAATTCCCTGAAAGTCATTATCCAAATGTCACTTTTGTCTTTTGAAGGCCTCTTGAGCTGAAGTGATGGTTCCTTAAGGCTACAGAAGTAGTAGGTTTCTTCCTACCCTCTGTGGAAAGATTTCCTGGCTTACTGATGAGTACTGAGCGCCAGTCCTTGCAAGACTCAGACACCAGCTTTTAAAAGGCCTACTTCATTTCCTACAAGAATAGAACAAGAAGTGAGTTATTTGTTAATTACCCTGATTGCATCAGTACACACTGTATACATGTATTGAAATATCAGCACTGTACCCCATAGATATGTACAATCATTGTGAATAAAAAAAGGTCTTAACGTTTTTAAAAGTAAATTTAGGGAGCAGCATTGTGGCATAGCAGGTTAAGCCAGCATCTGCAACACTGGCATCCCATGTGGACACTGGTTCGGGTTCCAGCTCTTCCACTTCCACTCCAGTTCCCTGCTATGCACCTAGGAAAGCAATGGAAGATGGCCCAAGTACTTGGGCCCCTGCACTCACATGGGAGACCCAAAAGAAGCTCCTGGCTTCAGCCTGGCCCAGCCCTGGCTGTTGAGGCCATTTGGGGAGTGAACCAGCAGATGAGAAATCATAACTTGCAACCCAGAAAAGGCCCTCACTTGACCCCAAGCATGCCAACATTCTGATCTTGGACTTCCAGTCCCCAAAATTGTGAGAAATAGATTTCTATTGTTCAGAAACCACCCAGTCTATGAAACTTAACTAAGATAGGGTATCTTGCTATATATATATTCATCTGTTTAAATACATATGACAGGAGCTAGCACTCTGGTGCAGTGGGTTAAAGACCCGATCTGTAGCTCTGGCATCCCATATAGGTGCCTGTTCAAGTTCCAGCTGCTCTACTTCCAATCTGGCTCCCTGCTGATGTGCTTAGGAAATCAACAGAGGATGGCCCAAGTCCTTGGGCCCCTGCACCCACATGGGAGACCCGGAAGAAGCTCCTGACCGCAGATCGGCTCAGCTCCGAGCTTTGCAGCCATTTGAGGAGTGAACCAGCAGATAGAAGACCTTACTCCATCTGTCCCAACCTCTTTCTGTAACTCTGTGTTTCAACTAAATAAAATCTTTTAAAAAATAAGATAAAAAATGCACATGACAGTCTCAGTGACTGCACAGTTGATTGTTGTGAAATGACCCTTAATTTTAAACAGAACTTATAATTAGGGCTTATAAACAAAATATTATAAAACTGACAAATATGAAATAATTTCTGCCACTTCCACCTAACCCTATCCAAGATGGAGTAAGAGAATGTGTGAAGGTATGAGAATCAGAGATGTTGAGCCCATGCCACTGCATAAAGACACTAGGCTGTGTGACTTTGGTTCAGTTAATTATACTCTCTGATCGCTTTTTCACATGCTGTTTGTAATTTATTAGAGGGTCTTGCCCACCTCCTGTCAGGCTCAAAAGTGAAAGGGAAATCATGTCTATATCTGAGCTTAAATCCTTAAGATAGGAACCAAATGAGCTCTGGGAGAGGATGGAGGCAGGAACCCTCTTTCAGGGCCCAGAGCAGTGAGATAGAGAGCAAACTGTGAACGTAGGACCCTGTAGGTACAGAGGACCTGAGATACACTGTCCCAGAGGGCACAGTGCAGGGGAATACCTAGAAGGGTATGGAGGAAGGGGTTGCAGAGTTAATAAAGAGGTGTAGGGGAGGTGGCTGATCAGTCTGAGACACCTGTGAGTACATGTCAAGCTGCCTGGATAGACACAGGACACAGAGAGGAGAGAGGAGCCTGGCTTTGGGCAGAGGATGGAATGCAAGCGGAGCAAGAGTTGATGCCCACAGCAAGCCACATAGCATGAAAAGAGCAGCAAAGATAGCCAGATCTATGGCTGCTGGTATTTCTGGCCAAGCAGAACCACTGTGCTGAGTCTTCCCTGGGTGACCCACTGCCAGCAGCTCAGAACGCTCTTCCACCATGGCCAGGCATCTTCGTGCCCTTGGATCTCCCCCAAAGTAGCTTACATGGAAGTAAGAGAAGAAGCGAGCAGAGGAGCCACGCTTGGGGACTCAGCCACTGAAAAAGCCCCTTCCCACCCTAAGCCAACAGAAGAACTTGAACCTGGGTGGAGGAGGCTTTGTGTTTACTTACTGCTTTGGCTCTTCCCCCAGAGAGCCATGTGACTCCTTCACTGCCTTCCAATCTTGATTAAACAGCAGCTTCTCCCTGAGGCCTTCCTTGACCAGACACTGGAAGTGGCAGATGCCCCATAACCCACCCCCCTTTCCACCTCCCCTGCTTGACCTTCCTTCGTAACATATCATTGGTTAGCTTTTAGAAAATCATTGACTTTCTCATCTGTCTTTCCACTCTAGGATGTGAGCTCCTAAAGAACCAGATATCTTTGCACACCTGCAGGACCTAGAACAGTGCCTGCCATGCCGTGAGTCTTCCATGCATCTTTGTAGAATAAAAATGTGGAGAATGTAAATCCAGTTGCTTTCTACTTTGGTTTAAATGTCTCCCAAAGGCCCACATGTTAAAGGCTTGGTCCTAAAAATCTTACATGAATTGTATGAAGAGGGTAGGAAGTTAATCTAATTTCAGTGTTTAGAGATGAGGTATTTGAGAAGTGATTAGATTGCACTGGATTTTGGGGTGAAGCCCTAGTGATTAAATCATTATGGCTTCCTAAGTAGAGACATAGACAGGCACCCCTTGTCCTTTCCCACCTGTGCCATCTCAGGCCTCTGCCAACAAGAAAGCCATCACCAGATGCTGAAATAATGGGGCCAAATGATATTGGACAGTGAGCCTCCAAAACCATGAGTCAAATTACCTCCTTTAGCTTGTCTCAAGTATTTTTTTGTAATGAGAAAAAGCAGACTAGCACACACTGTCTTCTTGAAGGCTGTTTCAGGGAGGTAGCCACTTCATCAGACTGATTGGCTTTTACCAGACAACCCACGGTGAACGGCTAATCTTCCTCTTGCTGAGTAGAAACAGGTAGTCAACTGCAGGGCCCCAGCGGACGCTCTAGATTGGGGACAAGAAGCTTACGATGAAGCTAACAAACCCAGAAATACAGGCTCAAACCCACGCAAGTTCATGTCTTGCTCACATAACATCCAAAAAAGGTCTTCTCTCCTGGCTCTGCCATCTTTTTCACTGACTTTAAGGTGCTCATCTCCACCTTAAAAGTAGAAAGTAAGGCCAGCGCTGCGGCTCACTAGGCTAATCCTCCACCTGCGGCACCAGTACTCCAGGTTCTAGTCCCGGTTGGGGCGCTGGTTCTAGTCCCGGTTGCTCCTCTTCTAGTCCAGCTCTCTGCTGTGACCTGGGAAGGCAGTGGAGGATGGCCCAAGTGCTTGGGCCCTGCACCCGCATTGGAGACCAGGAGGAAGCACCTGGCTCCTGGCTTGGATTGGCGCAGCGCACCAGCCGTAGCGGCCATTTGGGGGGTGAACCAACAGTAAAGGAAGACCTTTCTCTCTCTCTCTCTCTTTCTCTCTCTCTCACTGTCTAACTCTGCCTGTCCAAAAAAAAAAAAAAGTAACAGCTGAGAGATTATTATGGGACAACTGAAAAGCAGAATAGCAACTGGGAGGTTTTTAGGGAGCAGACCTAGAAGAAGCATTTGTCACTTTCCCTAAAATGCTATACTCTAGAACTCAGTTGCATGGCTACACTAACTGCAGCGGAGACTAGGTCACGAGACCCAGCTGCATACCCAGGAAGGAGTAACAAAGGTTGTGACCAGGGAGCCAGTCTCTGCCACACACTGTGTTCATTGGACTCACAAGATTCACTCCATACAGCATGCTGAGTGAGCACAGTTCTGTCAGTTCCTAGGATGGGCGCGTGAGCCATGGGCGGGCACTGCTCGAGCCGATTGAGAAACATTTAATCTTTTTTTTTTTTTTTTTTTTGACAGGCAGAGTGGACAGTGAGAGAGAGAGACAGAGAGAAAGGTCTTCCTTTTGCCGTTGGTTCACCCTCCAGTGGCCGCCCCGGCTGGCGCACTGCGGCCAGCGCACCACGCTGATCCGATGGCAGGAGCCAGGAGCCAGGTGCTTTTCCTGATCTCCCATGGGGTGCAGGGCCCAAGCACCTGGGCCATCCTCCACTGCACTCCCTGGCCACAGCAGAGAGCTGGCCTGGAAGAGGGGCAACCGGGACAGAATCCAGCGCCCCAACCGGGACTAGAACCCCGTGTGCCGGCGCCACAAGGCGGAGGATTAGCCTAATGAGCCGCGGCGCCGGCCAAGAAACATTTAATCTTGTCAGCTATATTTGTTCTCAAACTATTAATGCTAGTTTAATGCACTTTGTATAATTAATTTTTTTTGGATTAGTGAACAGGTAGTATTAAAAAAGTAGAAAGTTTTTATATCTATGAAGAAAATGGGTTTATTTTTAAAAGGGTATTTTTTTAAATTTTATTTTATTTGTTTTCATTTGTTTGAAAGGCAAAGAGGAGAGAGAAAAAAAAAAAAAAAACCAGAGATCTTCCATCTTCTAGTGTCCTCCCCAAATGCCTCCAATAGCAGGACTGGGCCAGGCCAAAGCCAGGCTCCTAGAACTCAATCTGGGTCTCCCACATGGGTGGCAGGGACTCAAGTACTTGAGCCATCATCTGCTCCCTCCTAGGGTGTGCATTAGCAGGAAGTTGGATTAGAAATACAGGTAGGATTCAAACCCAGGCACTCTGACCATAAATAGTAAGAAAGAAAGAAAGAGAGAAAGAGAGAAAGAGAGAAAGAGAGAAAGAAGAAAAGAAAAGAAAAGAAAAGAAAAGAAAAGAAAAGAAAAGAAAAGAAAAGAAAAGAAAAGAAAAGAAAAGAAAAGAAAAGAAAAGAAAAGAAAAATCCTGACCCTGTTAAAAGATAAATTTCAGGGCCGGCGCCGTGGCTCAATAGGCTAATCCTCCACCTTGCGGTGCCGGCACACCGGGTTCTAGTCCCGGTCGGGGCGCCGGATTCTGTCCCGGTTGCCCCTCTTCCAGGCCAGCTCTCTGCTATGGCCAGGGAGTGCAGTGGAGGATGGCCCAGGTGCTTGGGCCCTGCACCCCATGGGAGACCAGGAAAAGCACCTGGATCCTGGCTGCTGCCATCGGATCAGCGCGGTGCACCGGCTGCAGCGGCGGCCATTGGAGGGTGAACCAACGGCAAAGGAAGACCTTTCTCTCTCTGTCTCTCTCTCACTGTCCACTCTGCCTGTCAAAAAAAAAAAAAAAAGATAAATTTCAGAAAAAGGTAAAATCATGACTCTTACTCGGATAGGAAAGTGAACACATGTCAACAATTTTATCAAACTGACCAAATAAAGGAACCCAGCAAATGTCACAACCTTCAAAGGAAAGTCAGAAGGAACAAATTTATAAGGAGTAGGGTGACATTGAACTGAACGTGCAAATGACACAAACTGGCTTTTTCCTTGGGGGGAGGGATGTATATTAGCCACCTACAAGGTACAGATTCGTCAAAGAGCTCTTTAAGGAACAAACTGATAAAACAGAAGGGTACACTGTTGACAAGGCATCGTTCTGCACTGAAGCACAAAAATGTCGTTTTTCTGTAACTTTACATCGAAAAGTTGGGGAATGAACACATTTACATGAGCCAAGTTGGTTAAGATGTGTAAGATCTGTGTATCATTCTTTAATGGTTCCTCCATTTCCAATTAACTGGTTAACAATTAGCCCCCATCCCTCAATTAAGATTTGGCTGTGACAGATTTTCTTTCACTAGGAAAAAGAAGTTTTTGTTTGTTTAAAAAAAAAAAGGCTTGGCCGGCGCCGCCGCTCACTAGGCTAATCCTCCGCCTAGCGGCGCCGGCATACTGGGTTCTAGTCCCGGTCGGGGCGCCGGATTCTGTCCCGGTTGCCCCTCTTGCAGGCCAGCTCTCTGCTGTGGCCCGGGAGGGCAGTGGAGGATGGCCCAGGTGCTTGGGCCCTGCACCCCATGGGAGACCAGGAAAAGCACCTGGCTCCTGGCTCCTGCCATCGGATCAGCGCGGTGCGCCGGCCGCAGCGCGCCAGCCGCGGCGGCCATTGGAGGGTGAACCAACGGCAAAGGAAGACCTTTCTCTCTGTCTCTCTCTCTCACTGTCCACTCTGCCTGTCAACAAATATAAAGAAAAAAAAAATTTAATTAAATTAAAAAAAACCTTAATGTTTCGTAGCATAAAACAAAACAGGAACTGATTATCTGTTCCAAATGTAGTAACCTCAAAAAGTGTACTTATAAGCACTAGGAGAAATTGAGCGAGGGGAACCCAGGACTTCTCTGTACTGTTTTTGAAATTTCATATGAATCTATAATTCTTTCAAAATAAAAAGCTTTTTTTAAAAAAAAAAGAATAATATTGAAGTACAGAACCAGGAGAACCCCCAAAATTTCCACTTACGTTTCCCAATAGAGCAACAGAAGGAACAAAGCTGGCTACCCTTCGTATTCACAGCAAGATTAGCAGTATTACAGGAGACAGCATCTTTCTGCCCAGAGAAGGCATGAGTATTACAAAGCCAAAATAGCCTGAACCAGTTGGAGGATGGAGAACTTGAACCTTAGCAGTAGATCTTGGCAGGGGACAAATACCTCCTCTCTTAAGTTTAGGACTTTCAACTTTCAGTTTATGTAGTCAGATGTCAAGAGTAACAGTGGCAGTAGCTAGCACCAATGTCAATGCCAATTTCCTGGTTTTGAAAGCATACTTCAATTACAAGGTGTTACCATTGGAAGCTAAGGGAAGAGTATAGGGAACACTGTGCTAGTTTTAAAACTTCCTATGAGTCTCCCATTTTTAAAAAATAAAGGTTAAAAAAGAAATATACTTCAAAATTTATATAGTTGACTTCATGAACTTTGTATGATGATATCTTGTTCATGACAGAGGCAAAACTGTAATTTCTCTTGGATGTTGAGTCCATTGTGAGGTCAGATGCAATATGGTCTGAGTTAAAGGTACAAGTGTCATTTTGAGGGTATTAGAATTTCCTCCACCAGCTTCTTAAGGATGATCATATTCATGGAAGAATGAACAAATAGAGGTGCTTTTTATATCTTCAGGGAAGGACAAGCCCCAAAAAGAGCTTCCTTCTGCAGATTTATGTCAAAAGTCTAGTTCCCAGTGAAGAAAAACCTTGTGATGGTTTCTCTTCTGTCTCTGTGGATGTTTGCCAAGTCAGAGATTTCCAGGAGACTTCTTTCCACATGTACAAGTCTAAACATAGCCCGGGCCTGACTGCGAGTTTCCCTTGAAAGGAAGAATGGCATCAGGTACCCAAGTGTTCAGTGGTTATTGTTAATTGTTACAACAAGTGGGCACTCAATGTTCCCTGGTCCTCATGGACCTTTCAATAGCCAGACGGGAGCTGGCTCACAGCAGTGATCTCCAGACATTCCTTTTGGCTTGAAATGTCAACCTCATGCTGAGCCACAAATAGAACATCCATAAAAACCTGCCTCATCTACCCTCCGTGTCTTGTCCATTATTTGTCCTGGATGCACCCCTTTTTGTTCCCATGGAGACTCACAGTTAGGGATGTGAAAAGATTCCTTTGCAGACTGAACAGGCTACAAGAATTTTGTTGCCTCTTTTAGAATAATGATAAACAAGACACAAGTGTCTAATGACCATCACCTTTTAAAATAGACCTTCCCTGAGGAACACGGAATTGTTTTTGAGAAAGTAGATTTTAGTAATGTGTTAAATGACATTATCTTTCAGTTACTTATTTTTGCAGAGGTTCAGCTGGTGTTGGTGTCCTGACACCGGTTTAGTTCAGTGGTGTAAAATATACTCTTTTGCTGTAGGAAATATAAAAGATCACCATTCTTCTTTTATAGAAGAGAATGAACAAACTTTTGACATATCCTCATCAGGATTTGCAGCTATGGCTGAAAGATGTTCTGTTTTCCAAAAGGCAACTTATATCAGAAAACCAACCCTTTCTAAGGTTAATTTTACTTAAAACTTGTGTTATTTATATACAGTCTTCTTTTTTAATTAAAATAATTATTTGAAAAGTAGAAAAAAAGAGTTCCCATCCCCAGGTTCACTCCTCAAATGTCCACAGTGGCCAGAGCTGGGCTGAGCTGGACCAGGCTGAAGCTAGAAGCCGGAAACTCAATCCAGGTCTCCCACATGGGTGGCAGGAGCCCAATTACTTGAGCTATCACCACTGCCTCCCAAAGTCTGCATTAGCAAGAAGCTGGAGCCAGGAGCCAGAAATGGAACCCAGGCACTGCAGTGTGGGATGCTGGTATCTTTACCACTAGGCCCAA